TCCTTAGGCCACAGGTAATGTTGCCAGGTTTGCAAGGCTCGGACCAACGCGTACAGTTCTTTATCGTAGGTTGGATAGTTCAAAGTTGCTCCTCCTAGCTTCTCACTGAAGAAAGCCACGGGTTTCTTTTCTTGCATCAGCACGGCTCCAATTCCAACCCCTGAGGCATCGCATTCGATCTCAAAGGTCTTGAGAAAGTCAGGTAGCGCTAGTAAGGGCGCATGGGTTAGCTTATGTTTCAAGAGTTGAAAGGCTTTCTCTTGCGGTTGCTCCCACTTGAACCCGACCTCCTTTTTAATGGTCTCGGTCAAAGGCGCGGCTATCGTGCTGAAGTTTTGGACAAAACGGTGGTAGAAGCCAGCTAGTCCATGAAAGCTCCGGACTTCTCCAACAGTCTTTGGGCTCGGCCAATCCTGGATCGCTTTGATCTTCTCTTCATCGACCTGGATTCCCTGCGAACTCACAACAAAACCTAAAAAGACAACGTGATCCGCACAAAAAGTACATTTCTTAAGGTTTCCAAAGAGGCGTTCACGTCTAAGCACATCTAACACTTTTCTCAAATGTATCACATGTTCATCCAGGGTCTTGCTATAAATTATGATGTTGTCAAAGTAAACCACCACGAAAACACCTATGAACGACCTAAGAACATGATTCATCAAACGCATGAATGTGCTAGGTGCATTAGTGAGTCCAAAAGGCATAACAAGCCACTCGTAAAGACCATGCTTAGTTTTAAAAGCAGTTTTCCATTCATCACCTTCTTTCATCCTAATCTGGTGATAGCCACTTTTTAAATCGACCTTAGAAAATATGCATGCACCATGAAGCTCATCTAACATATCGTCTAGCCTAGGTATAGGATGGCGATACTTAACCGTTATGTTGTTGATGGCTCGGCAGTCGACACACATCCTCCAAGTTCCATCCTTCTTGGGCACGAGTAAGACCGGTACGGCACATGGACTCATGCTCTCACGAATATAACCCTTGGCCAGAAGTTCATCCACCTGTCTTTGAAGCTCCTTGGTTTCGACTGGATTAGTACGGTAGGCGGGTCGGTTAGGAAGGGTAGCTCCGGGCACGAAGTCGATCTGGTGCTCAATTCCTCGAAGGAGTGGCAAACCACCTGGGTCGTCTTCTAGAAAGACATCAGCAAAATCCTGCAAAACATGAGAGATTCTGCTCGGTAAAACCGGCTCAGGGTCAGTATGGCTAGCCAAAGCTTCTTTAAAAATGAGAAGGACAAAAGGTTGCTTTGTGGCTAAGGCATATTTCACCTCGCTAGGCCTCACAAGAAAAGATTCTTTGCTCACGGGATTTCCCTCATAGGCCATTTCTAGGTTTTTCTCAGACTCTCTCTTTTGTAGTGAAGTGTTTTGGGATTCGCTCATAATACCTTTGCCCTTAGAATTCTTTTCCAGCTTAACTTGATCGAGATAGACTTCATATGGTGAAAAGGGTGCTAAGACGATCTTGCGACCTTGGTGCTCAAAGGAATGCTTATTTGAGAACCCATCATGGATCGCCTTCTTGTCGAACTGCCATGGCCGTCCTAGAAGTAGATGACCGGCCTCCATAGGTAAAACGTCACAAACGACCTCGTCCTTATATCGTCCAATGGTGATTGGCACGGTGACCTGCTTGGTGACCTTGAGTTGCCTCTGGTTGTTAAGCCATCGTAGGTTGTAAGGATGAGGGTGTTTACGGGTCTCCAATCCCAACTTTTCAACCATACTAGTACTAGCCACGTTGGTGCAGCTTCCTCCGTCAATAATCAGGCTGCACACCTTTCCTTGGACCAGGCACCGGGTGTGGAACAAATTTTCCCTCTGGTCTTCCTCCTTGGTCCGTTCTTGTGCTATAAGAACACGCCGAGCTACAAGTAACTCTCCGGACACAGCTCGCTCCTCGGTCTCTTCTTCATCGTAGACCGGCTCGGTTTCCCCCTCGTGATCGGATATGATCTCTCCGGTGTCGAGCATGAGCATAGCCCTCTGATTCGGACATTTATTGGCATAGTGTCCCTTTCCCCGACACTTGAAGTACTCGATGTCTCGCGTCCTGGATGAACTGGCCTCGGTCTTTCCTGTGTTCTGGTTCGGTCTTGCGTCCGTCCTCGGTTGAGTGTTAGAGCGCGAGGGATAGGTTGCTTTGTCGTCTCGGTAGTTCGGTCGCGAACTGGCTCCAGGGGTAAAATCGCCTTGTGTAGCATCTCGGCCATATCGTTATACTCCTGTAGCTCCATTCGGTCCTGTAAATCACGGTTTAGGCCACTTAGAAATCTGGCCATGGTCGCGTCCTCTGGCTCGAATACGTCGGCCTTAAGCATTAATCGCTCCATTTCCTGATGGTAGTCCTCCACGGACTTAGTTCCTTGCGTGAGCCTCCTAAGTTTGGTATGTAATTCCCGGTGGTAGTGGGAAGGTACAAACCGTTGCCGCATGAGAGTGGCCATCTCGTCCCAAGTGTCTACTGGCCGTTCACCGTTCCTATGCCGGCTGACCATGATCTGGTCCCACCAGTCTATGGCATAGCCATTAAACTCGGAGGCCGCCAAGTTGATCTTCTTCCTCTCTGACAGGTCCTGGCAGTTGAACACGATGTCCACCTTCTTTTCCCATTCTAGGAAGGCGTCTGGATCATTCTTTCCGTAGAAGGGTGGAATCCGCAGCTTCATGCCTCCTAGATCATTATCGCTACGTCCTCGATCCGGTTCTGCTTCTCTTCGTTCATGGATGGGTCGCTGAGGTCGTCCTCCTTCACGTCGGAAGTCTCGGCCTGGGAAATTATTGCCTCGGTCGCGGTCTAATCCAGCTCGACCTCGGTGTGCACCACGGTTTCCTCGCGGCCTGACTCGACTACTTCCGGAAGAGTGGTTATCTGCGTAGAAGGGGTTTTCGATCTCCTGTTCGAAATTCCGGTCTCGGCGAATATGCATAGGCTCCTCACGGTTTTGATCGTTGGCCTCCTCGGGCCTTGGCTGGACTTCTAGCCGATCCATCCTTTGGCTCATACGCTCCATCAATTCGGTTAACTGGTTAAGTTTGGCCTCCATTTCTCGGGGAGTATACCAGCGAACGTGATTTCCTTCTTTGAACGTGTAGAACTCGCAATCGTCCAACGAGTAGTCGGATGACATGCACGTACCTCGCAAAAAAGAACAAACACGTTAGTAAAAATCCTTTCTAGTGTTTCTCTCTTTGATTCACTCCCTCTCTTATTAATCTCACAAACCCACACAAGATTTCCTTCCGGTTCTAAAGGAGTTAATCGATTCACGATGACTGCCCCTAGGTTTCCTTGGTTTATCAAATGTTTGAGGAGAAGAAAAAGAATAGATAGATAGAAAAGAATACGATTTCCTTCTTTTTTTTTGACTTTTGGAATTCTTTTTTTTTTTTTCTGATTGGACTTTTCGATTTCTTTTTTTTTTTTTTGATAACGGAAATAACAGAAGAAAAGGGATGAGAAAAGGCGGAAGTTAAAATATAGATTAACACTACCGATTAAGCAAGTGGGCTCTGATACCACTTGATACGATCCTCCCAAGGAAATTGCACTTGCTCGTCGGGTAGGGGTTGATAGACTCGGCCAGATCGGTTTGGTCGGAGAGATGCTAAGGGGTGAGGGGTCGCCTCGAAGATCCTTAGGCCCAACTCGCGAGAAACAGAAACTGATCAAGGGATGGAAACACCAAGTATTGATCTCGCGGGTTAAGGATGAACAGGCGTGAGACTTGGTCTCGAAAATCCTGCTGCCCCTAAACTACTTTGAACGAAATCGAAAACAAGATGTAAGGAAGGCTGCGTCGAATCCTATGGGCTGAATCCGATAAACCAAAAGTAAACTTTCAAGGCTAACCACCTAAGAAAGGAAAACTCAGAAAGAACAAGAGGAAATCTCGATTTATTGATAAAAGTGTATGTTCAAAATACAAGGGGTTCGGCTCTTTATATAGAGTCTCATAAGAAGTGCAAAAGACAGAAATAATAAATAGATACATTGAATACGATAAAGGACCACTCGGCTTCCTCGGATGACCGTTTCACTTCTCTCGCGCGAATGGCCTTTCAACTCCTTGTAACGACTTCTAACTAATTCGGATAAGGAAAAGATGTGGGCCTTAACCTCATTAAAATCCCATCCAGAAAACCCAGTGGGACAAACCTGGATGCAAGGAAAAAGAGTATTAAGGGACCACACCGTCCGAATAAGCTAAGAGTGTTACAGCTCGGTCGCTTAGTGTGGCGTCCATGAACTTGGCCATCAGCTCGGTATATAACCTCCAAATGACCATGGACAGCTTCCTAGCTCGGGACCGCGTAATTGGACCAGTGAGCTCGGTCAATTCTGGACTTGGGTCGTTCACCTCGGCCAACTTCCCTTCCGGAGCCTCCATCTCGCTTAGCTCGGCCATTTGGTGATAATTTCCGGTCTCGACTAGTCCTCTGGCCTGACCCTCAGCTCGTACCTCGTCCATGCTCGTATCAATAATATATTTAATTTTATATTAAAAAAAATTTGACCCCGGTAAATAAAATTTTTATCTCCACTGAGTGTTGTACACATAAGCAATTTTTTTTTATTCTAAAAAAAAGTTTGTGGATTTCTAAATATAATACTTACACAGTTCCATTATGAGGCATGCATATACTAAATTTAATTTTGATTGAGTCCCTCACACTGATTTTTTCATTTTTTTCATGTGTTGTATAATTTTATTAAATTAGTCCCCACATTTCCTTTAACTTGTATAAACTAAAATTCCATAACATTTTTTTTTCTATTTAAACTCAAACAATCAATTAATTACAACAGCAGAAACGTGTGTGTTTTTAAAATTTAAGTGGGACAAATATATATATATATATATATATATATATATTAAAAACACTTCAATTTATAAGTTTGCACCATAACATGATAAATTCCCAAATCCCAACCATCATCATCATTGACTCATTGTTACGTAAGATTTAGTTTTGATATTCTTATTTTATCAATATATAATTTTTTTTTGTAAATATTTTGAGAACTTCAACAACTAGGAAAAGGAATCTTACAAGCATCTAAGACTTTACGAGCGTTTGGAGAAGTAACATACATACTATACATTGGATTTTTTATATAATCACAGAAACACGGTTGCTGCTCTTTTAGTTTATCACAACAATCTTTAGCTGGTTCTCCTCCTATGGTTATCGCAGGTAAGCACGGCAAGAGCTCTGTTGGAACACAAGATTGTGCCGTTTCTCCTAACCCTCCAACCGTGGTTGCTCTGATCGGAAAGAGAGACGTCATGGCAATTATCACGAATGTGATGGACATTAATTTTGTGAACTTCATATCTTGAAACCCTAGAAGCTTTTCTACGCTTTCAAATTGTTTTTTTTTTTCTGCTTCTTAAAGTTTATTTGACAGTTTGGTTTTGAGGTTTTTAGGATGGTAAACATCATATCTTATATATAGATGTGAGATTTACATGGTCGTAACGGATAATCTGGATTGGTTTTATCTCTGAAAAGTGTAATTAATAGTTTTAGCATAAAAATAAGCTGATATTTTACTGCATTTTTTAAAAATTTAACTACAGTTCAACTTTTAACATATATAGTTTAAAAGTTTTTAATATAAAATCTATGCCATATATATGTCTCTTTTAAAATTATTATCTTTTTGATATTTTAATATATTAAACATTCAATATAGACTCTTCAAATATGATTAATGTCTTAAAATAGTCTACAATGATATACACCGATAACTTTTTTAATTTCTACACTTTCATTTTCACCCCTCTTATCATATCCCTCTATGTCTCCCTCTCTTTTCGTTAAATTGTATTTGTCGTCTTTTCACTTTTTCTTTCGGAGAAAAATGTTTGTTAATTACATTAACTAGGGTCTATTATACATCCAAACTAAAAATATTGCCTGTCTTTACATAAGCCATAATGATAAACTCCAAGGTCCCAACCATCATCATCATTTAATTCATTGTTACATAAGTTTCACTTTTGATATTTGGTATCATTAATAATAATAATTTTTTGTAGAAATATCTTGAGAGCTTCAACAACTAGTAACAGGAACCTTACAAGCATCTATGATCTTACGAGCATTAGGAGAAGTAACAAACAAACTGTAGTCCGGATTTTTAATATAACCACATAGACACTGTTTCTGCTCCTTCAGATTGTCGCAACAATCTTTAGTTGGTTCTCCTCCCATGCTTATTGCCGGTAAGCACGGCAAGAGCTCCATCGAAACACACGATGGTGCCAATTCTCCCAAACGTCCAACCGCGGTTGCTTTGACCGGAAAAGGACAGGACACAGTGACTATCACGAATGTGATGAGTACGAACGTCGTGAACTTCATATCATCAAGCCTTAGCTGCTTTTCTTTGCTTTCAAATTTTCGTCTTTCTTAAATATATTTTTTGAGGTTCTGGTTTTGAGGTTTTTAGGATTGGAGAATTCTTTTTATATAGATGTGAGTTTTACATAATCGTAACGAATATTCCTGATTGGTCGTGCCTGGATAAGAAGCGTTTATGCATTTTGGCTAGCCGACATTTGGCAACCATGCAGGAGAACGTGAAGGTCATTATCTAATAGTGCTCAGACGCGTGAGGAATGTGTAGGTGTACATCCCTAAAAATGTATATAATAAGTTGGGCTGATTACGCCGTTACGTACTATCATATGGGTTTGTAAAAATAAGTATGAAAATTAAAATGTTGTCTGAGCCCGGATTTTGATTAGGCCTTCTTAAAACTTTATAGCTTCATCGTAACTGAGGTTGTTCATTTTGATAAATATATTAACTATCAGAAAATTGAGTTGTATTGAATTTTTGATTGATTATATATATATATATATATATATTTAATTTGTTCTGTAGATTTATAAAGATCACAGCGAAATCAAAAAGGTTGTGTGTTTCATATGATTCTCATGCTAAACAAATAACATTGGTATTATTTTAGTTTTTGGGGTATTACCATAATCAAATGGATCACTAACTTATCCATGGAATCCTTTGCTACGTCAAATTCTACGCTATCGATGAAACTCTGAACTTTTTTTATATATTTTTGTTAACTGTGGACATCCCAAAAACTATTTAGGCCTAAAGACTAATCCTATGAAATCCTACATCCGAGTATAGATTTGAAAATATTCCAAATTTAAAGCATGGTTAAGTGTTTAATGAGATTCGAGCCCAAACTCTCTCACTTAAGAGTTACTTTTGAACTCAAAACTTTCCCACTTAAAAGTTATCACTAGACCAAGACAACTTGGTTGATGATACTGAAAACTTTTCCTTGTGATTTGTCAAAACCTAGATTCTTTTTATCAAACATATATAATAGGTAATCTTATTTAAAATTACAATGATACTCAGAATTTTGCCCTTTAACTAACATGGTATCGCAAATCTATGAAATTGTTTTATTTTCTGTTTCTTAAAGTTTATTTGAAATTTTGGTTTTGAGGTTTTTAGGATGGCAAACATCATATCTTATATATAGATGTGAGATTTACATATTCGTATCCGATAATTTGGATTGGTTTATGCCATAAAAATTTTAATTAATAGTTTAAGCATAAAAATAAGCTGATCTTTTACTGCATTTCTTAAAAATTTAACTTCATTTCAACTTGAGGACAAATGGAGAGGAGTTTTTTTTTTCTCTCTTTCTCTTTTCACTCATCTCTATCTTTCAGAGAGCGAGAGCACTTTTTCTCCTCTTATGTTAATATTACGATCAGTATCGGAGTTTTTCTTCCGTTATAAACAGATAAATAATTTCTGGTTTTAATCTGGTAATAAGATTCCAACGAGTTTGGATTGTGTTTTACCCTAACTCCTCCGTGTTTTAGTCCTCTTGTAGATGAGGCGGTGTTTCAGTTCCGTCGATGCGTGGTACGAATCTACTTCTTAACCTCTGCACTACAAGAAAAATATTTATTGATAGTAGATTATAATAGCTCAGTTTTCATAACTGCTATTAAAGATGGTATGCTTTGAAGTGGATTACTATTTGATAGCATTTTAGTAATGCTAAACACAAAAATATGTATAGCGGGAAAAATTCACTTGGTGAGCTTTATTACACTTATCGAGCGCCTACACTTAGCCGAAAAATCATTTTTGTAACCAAAATATTTTGGTTTTGCCCCCTTTTCTTCCAATTTAACCATTTTCTAACGCTAAACCTAATTTTTTCCAAAAACTCTTATGCTTTTGTCAGTTTCTCTCTATATTCTTCTTCCTAGCCTCTCTCAAAATTTCCTAAGACTCTCTAGATCCAGAATCGGTACCGTACTCTCGACGTCCTCCATCTACAATCATCTTTGTTAACTCCGCTTAAAGGTTGCGACTTGCTGCACTGCTCCTCTGCCATAGCTGTGGCCACCACCGCCTCTTCCTTGCTCCTCCCTTCCATATCTCTCAACAACCTCTGCTCCTTCTTTAAAAATGCCTCCCCCTCTGCTTCTCCGACAAGAGCATCAGAAGATCTAGGGTTTCCCTGAGCGTCTCTGCTGGGTCTAAGAATACCTTCAAAATTCTGGGTTTTTAAATTACTGATAATGAAGATTTTGGTCTCGTCGCGACTCTATCTCTCTCGCCGAATCCCTCTCTCTGCTCACTATCTCTCGTTGACTCACTCTCTAGCCGCCTCTGTTTCTCTCTCGCTGCTTCACACCACCGCTCTCTCTTGCCGCTACAAGACCACAAATCCTCGTACTCAGGTATTTTTAGACCTTGGGTTTCTAGGGAAAGGATTAGATGGATTTTGGTTAGTTCTGATTTTTTTGTTTTCCTTAGTTCTGAGCATCTATTTTCGTGGGTATGCTTCTGACTTTGAGCCAGTATCACTTTGTCACTGAATCCTTCAACTCTTATCCGCAGGTGAAAAATCTTCTGCAGCAAATGGTGGGTTTTCTTACAGATATATATATATTTTTGTCTCATTAGGCCTGTGAATTGCAACTTCAAACAAGTAGATTCTGTTAATCTGGTCTTTTGTGTTTTTCCGCAAAACATGTTCCATAAAATGTCGGACTCCATTATTGCAAAGAATATCCTTACATCAATTTATGGTTTTACTTGAATGTTGCTTCGATTATCATATTTGAAGTGTTTCCAATAAAGAATAAGAACCATGATCTTTTTTTTCCGTCAAAAAACAACCATGATCTCTAATATTAGTTTCTTTCTGCCATTAAACTATATGAAATGACAATTCTCTAATGACATATTAGATGTAACGATGATCCCTGATAATTGTTTCTTTATGTTTAAATGTCTATGTTATAGATAGTATCACATGTGTCTATATTATGATCTTTAGTTAAGAGTTCCTCTTATACACATACTTCTTTGCTCTCGCTGATTTTCTTTTGTTTTCTAGATGGATTAACGCAACCGTTCTGGGCTCTCCCCTGGAGATGGTCAGTTCTTTCATAACTTTTCTCTGTAGGAATTCAATTTGATGATGTTTAGAATGATCACCGATTTGTGGTCATTTTGGAATAATAGGAAGTCTGTTTCTTCTTTGGGTTTGTTATGATTTATGGCTTCTCATTCTTCCTGCCTAACTATTGTTATTTGCAGTTATGTCCAAACTCATGAGCACAAGAACATCTCAGTTCCGGAGTTTACATGTGTCTCATCTGCTAAGGTTTAAGTCAATTAACTTTCTCATTGGTTTATCACTTATGAATGCTAGTTTGATGACTAGTCCATGGTCAGCTTCTATTCTTCTAACATGTATATTGTTTTCTTAATTCTTATAATCACTTATAAAACTTGTGAATTTTTGTTTTGATCTTCACGAAATCAATGTTAATTTGCTTTGTATGGTTGTGCAAGCTTTGATATGATTCTTTATCATAGTTTGCTCTCATCTCTAGAAGCTCCTAAAGGTTTTATGGTTTTTTTGGTGTTTTAGGTTCCTCCTCTGGGTAAAGGAGCTTTGTATATAAGGCCTCTGCTAATAGGGAGTTTTCTGATTTGTTCACTTGTATAAATGAAGTAAGTTTTGATTTTTTCAAAGAGTTGCATTTTGTTTGTTTGTTTTCAGAAGCCTGGATGCTTATTACTTGGTTTCCATAAGCTCTTTCGGTCTGCAATCAGTTCGATTCTGATTTTTCTTGTGTATTGGATTGGGTGATCTGGTGAAGATGCTTTTGAGACTGCAAAGAGTTGACGTTTCTTCTTCTCCTTAATCTCAGAGAATGTGCAATGGAAAGACTGATTTGAGTCTGTTATTTATTTTTTAATATTAAATTTATAGAGAGAGAATGTTTGGAGAGAGAGAGAAAAAATGAATTTATAATATAAAAAAAAATGATTTGACACTTGTCTGCTGGAGAGAGATAATAAAAAAGAAAAACCTATAAACTCTTGACACCTGTCGCCGAGAGACGTTTCTTCTGTCTCTAAATTTAGAGACGTTTCTATCCAAATATTTTGTTTTTGATTTAATTAAATCACCTAAAAATTTAAAAGACTCTATTTAAAGACTCCATTGCACATGCTCTCATTAGCTTTTGGTTTTAGTTCTTATTCCTTCTCTCTGTTCTTGAGAGTTTTTTAATTTTCTCAAATTTTTTTTCAGAAAAGAAGAATGGTTGCAATACTTAGACCACATTAAGTAAAACGAGAGACTTGAATCAGTTTCAGTTACATCTCATCATTACAGGTTTGATTTCTTGGTCCTTTACATGAATAATACTGTGTTTAACACTCTTAGGTCGATTATTATTTGCACAGTTCATCAAAAGCAGGTTTTGGTTACAATAAACTTTTCTCTAGAACAATTGGAACGTGTTTTGGATACAAGATCAAACCTGGTGAAGTTTTATATTGGACAAAAAACAGAAGAGGGCAACAACTGCTGCAAAAACCGGTTGCAAGATGATCACATCTTCTTGAGGTAATTTGTTCAGTTGGATTTGGTGCAATTCTGAAATTATGCCTTTGCTTGATGACTTTGGAGAATTACGTAATCACAGATTCCCAATACATCAATATGGTTTTGGTTTGTTGCAGTTACTATGTGTGTTTGTTGCTTGGAACAATGCAACTTATGGCATTGATTCTCTCCCAGGCTAGGCAAGCTCTTCTCACGCAAAGAATTGCTTCAGCACTTCAAGCAGCCATGACCACGTTTTGTAAGACTTGTTTTTAGTATGATGTTTGTCCTTGTGATGTTTTGTGTAAGACATGTTTGGATGTTTAATAAAAATAAGAGTGTTTTTAATGCAAACGCTGGTTTCATTTCATATAGTTTTGGAAAGCAGGTTTCTCTCAGTTTGAAAATAATTTTGTAAAACTACAGGTCGTAACCAAAAAAAAAACTAGAACACATTAAACAATAGCCCGGAAAAAATGTTATAAAACAGTATACTATAGCCCAGAAAAAGAGTTACAACACGTTATACCGTAGCCAAAAAAAAGGAGCTACAAGAGATTAGTCTATAGCAACAAAACCGTGCGACAAAAATCCATATTATAATATGCAAATAGTGCTACTAGATTACATAGAACAACGTCTAAAATGAGTTACTATATCGTAAATAACAATACAATTTTAACGCTATAATAGAAGTATATATTATTGTATAATCCGAAAATGCTATCGTATAGGGATTACCCTATTATAGTTCCGGAGATCACAGCGTTCATGAAAACGCTATCAAATCAATATAATAGCGCTAATCGTGAGCTAACAATGTACATTTTTCTTGTAGTGCTGGTATCATCCTCTCATCCTCTCTCAACTGAAAGATATGCTTCCCAAAGTCCCTATCAATCGCCTTAATGGCATAAGGGATAGGTCTTGAGTTAAAGATGAACGGCGATGGAATTTAAGAAGAAGCAAGTTTTCAATCACAATTATTCACCGGATCTTCAAAGAGGAGTAAAATTGGCGAAGAAACAGCGGTTTTACTGGAGGATGTAGTTCTGATTGGAGTGTTTTCCATGGATTATGCTCTTCAAATTTCGGTTTTCCGGCGAACTCGACGTCATCGACGGCGTCTTCTCACCCTCAACCGACATTCTCTCCTAAGACTTCCACGTGTTATACACGTGTGTTAAAATTATCAACCCTTATCTCTTGTGGTTTGGGTTATAATTGGGTTTAAATTTGTAAGTTTTGGGCTTTCAAAACTGCTGTAATTTGCTCATATATGGGCTTTCGTTATAAAACGAATAATTGACAAAAAAAAAACTTCATTTCAACTTTTTTATAGTTTTCAATATAAAATCTATGCCATATATATGTCTCTTTTAAAATTATTGATTATCTTTTGATATTTTAATATATGAAACATTCAATATAGATTCTTCAAATTAAATATGACACGTTGACATATGTCTCTATTATAACTATTAAATCTACATCGATTAATGTCTTAAAAAATCTACAACGATATATGCCGATAAATTTATTAATTTCTACACTTTCAATTTCACCCTTCTTATCATCTCCTTCTATGTCTCCCTCTCTTTTCGTTAAATTCTATTTGTCGTCCTTTCACTTTATCTTTCGCAGAAAATTGTTTGTTAATTAAATTAACTAGGGTCTTCTATTATACATGCCAACTAAAAAAAACTCATGTTTACATAAGCCATAATAATAATCTCCAAGGTCCCAACCATCATCATCATTTAACTCATTGTTACATAAGTTTCTCTTTTGATATTTTTATCATTAATAATAATATTTTTTCTTAGAAATATCTTGAGAGCTTCAACAACTCGGAATATGAATCTTACAAGCATCTATCATCTTACGAGCGTTTGGAGAAGTAACAAACAAACTATAGTCCGGATTTTTAATATAACCACATAGACATGGTTTCTGCTCCTTCAGACTGTCACAACAATTTTTAGTTGGTTCTCCTCCCATGCTTATTGCCGGTAAGCACGACAAGAGCTCCATCGGAACACACGATGGTGCCACTTCTCCGAAATCTCCAACTGCGGTTGCTTTGATCGGAAAAAGAGACGACATGGCGACTGTCACGAATGTGATGAGTATTAACGTCGTGAACTTCATATCGTCAAACCTTAGCTGCTTTTCTTTGCTTACAAATTTTCTTCAATCTTAAAAGTATTTTTTGAAGTTCTGGTGTTGTGGTTCTTAGGATTGGAGAATTCTTTTTATATTGATGTGAGTTTTTACATAATCGTAACAGATACTTCTGATTGGTCGTGCCTGGATAAGAAATTTTTACGCATTTTGGCTAGCCGACATTTGGCAACCATGCAGGAGAACGTGAAGGTCATTATCTAATAGTGCTCAGACGCATGAGGAATGTGTTAAGTGTACGTACATCCCTTGAAATGTATATAATATAAGTTGGGCTGATTATGCCGTTACGTAATATCAAATGGGTTTAACAAATAAGTATATAAATTAAAAAATGTTGTCTGAGCCCGGGTTTTGATTAGGCATTCTTAAAACTTTATAGCTTCACCGTAACTGAAACTGTTCATTTGGTAAAATATATTAACCTTTTATCAGAAAATTGAGTTGTATTGAATTTTTGATTGATTTAATATATATATATATATATTTTAAATTTGTTCTTGTAGATTTATAAAGATCTCAGCGAAATTAAAAAAGGTTGTGTGTTTCTTATGATTCTCATGCTAAACATATAACATTGGTATTATTTTAGTTTTTGGGGGTATTACCATAATCAAATGGATCACTAACTCATGCATAGAATCCTTCGCTACGTCAAATTCTACGCTAGCGATGATACTCAGAAGTTTGCCTTGTGATTTGTGAAAAACTAGATTCTTTTATCAAACAAACATATATAATGATTCTCAGAACTTTGCCCCTCAACTATAACATGGTCTCGCAACTCCATTTACAGGCAGAGAAGTAATGTTGAAGACGATATAATAATGTAGAGCATGATCACATATACGCCAACACTCAACAGTGCTAGCAAATATTATATTCTTAATAAAAATAAATTTGAAATGCATTCTAATGGTATTATATATGTAAAGTTAGTATTATGAATTTAGATTTTGGAACCATTCAAAGTATTTAAGTCGTTAATAAAATGAGCGTAAATTTTTATCCCATTAAAAATTTTGTTGCAATAAAAATATCATAATTATTATTAGCAATTAAAAAAAAACTATCATATTCTAAAAATGCATGGTGATGTCATATTTAATACAGGGTAAGTTGAATCACTAATATATTCATATTTACGCAAATATGTTACTAAATATTACATTTTCATACCGAAGTTACCATATAACTTGCGGTGTAAGTTACCTTCAAGCGAACTCGTGTGTGGTAAGACATTTTTATACTAAACTTACTACATAACTTGCGTTGTAAGTTATCTTCAAGAGAACTCGTGTGTGACAGTGTGAGGTGATACAGACTGTACAGTGGTACTCGAGTGTTTTACTCGTCATGGGTTTGAAGAAAATTTCTTACCAAAAAAATCAGATGAACAAAACGGAAACAAAACTGTAAAAATGTAAGTGATTTCAAGATATTTTTTGTTATCATGAAAAACTCCCAACCATCATCATAAACTCAATGCTCCATAATGATTTAGTTTTTATATTTTGTTATTATTGTTAATTTTTTATTCTTAGGAACATCTTGTGCGCTTCAACAACTAGGATAAGGAACATTACAAGCAGTGAAGACTTTGTGAGCGTTTGGAGAGGTAATATACATACTATAAGCAGGATTTTTAATGTAACCACACAGACAAGGCTTCTGTTCATTTAGTTTCCCGCAACAATCTACAGTTGGTGTTCCTCCTAATGTCACTGCTGGTAAGCATGGCGAGAGCTCTGTCGCAACACACTGTTGTGCCATGTGGCCCAGGCCCATGTCTCTTCCAGAACCTCCAACCGCGGTTGCTCTGATCGGTAGTGGAGACGACATGGCGCCTATCACGAGTGCGATGAACAATATTGTCATGAACTTCATCATGTCTTGAAACACTATACCTTCAATTTTTTATTTTCTTATTAAGCTTGGATTTGAGGTTTTCATGAGGGTATAGACTGTTATATATAGATAAGAAGTTTATAGATGTGGTCGTAACGGACAATTTTGATTAATATTATCTCGTTAAAGAAACGCTAATGCATTTGGCTCCTACATTTGGCTATCATGCAGAAGAACGTGAAGTTCATTTTTTTTTTTTTGAACCTTAGAACGTGAAGTTCATGATCCAAATAAAAAAACAAAAAGTGCCCACGCAAGTTTCGGGCGTGTGTAAGTTGCACAATAACACTAATTCACATATATATATATATAGATAATTCATATATATATATATACGTACACTGATTCCAACGAATTATATTTATTCTATTACCAACAAAATTTTTTTTTACGTACTTTAATGGACATAAGTCATATCCAGTTATCCACAAACGATACAACTAATCTTGTTATCCTTACAACCAAACAATGAGCGATTGTTAGTTCTCTTTATCCTACGCTATGCTAATTTAAATTTTCTGAAGAATCAAACTGTGGGTTTGGTATTGGCCTATTGGGTTTCTCGAATCAAACCCACCATTTTTTTATTATTGTTTTTTTATGGTTTTGAATTGCTAGACTTCGAAATTCTGAAATAAAATCAAACAAGTCTTAATTTTTATTGGATCTTCTTATATTTTCTCGCTGAAAAACGCTCTTTTTTTCTCTTCCATGATAGCTAAGACTTTTGGGTCTTATTAGAAGTATCAATCCCCTGTAGTTGTAGTACAAGGGTATCAATCCAAGCTTGGGGAGTCACTAGCCTATGATGCTTATTAACTTAAGTCAAGTTGTTCAAAAAAGGCTTTTGTTGTCTAAACTACTTAAGATGCAAGAAAGAACAAAAATAGAACAAGTTGTGAAATTTAAACTAAATAAAGATGCAAATAACAACAAATAAACTAAGCAGATGAATGGTTGATGATATGAAATGATGAAGCAGAGACTTTAGACAGGATAAAGGATTCAGGTGCTTCCAAGCTAAATTAGCGAGTTAATGAATCAAGATTATCAAGCAACTTCATTTAACATGAACACAAAGGTAAGTTAATCCTCTCATGAAGGTATTAACCTTCTAAACTGATCCTCTTTCATACCTAAATCCCTTTTGAGAAGCATGAATCAGTCAGGTTTAAGATCTGGTTCAATAAGTCATTTAAGAAGAACAAACTATCACTCTCATGATGAAAGACTCTTAAACCTCTAACCTATTGGTTCAGACATTTCTACAAACACTTTTGATGCGAGAACATGTCTTAGATCTGGACTGCATGTGATGTTCATGGATCCAGCTTAGAGATTTGATCGGTTAGAGAATAAAATATGCAAGGCTAGACCCCTAAACTCGCAAATCTACCATTGAAAGCACCCTAATCTACCTATCTAAAACCTCATAAGCGACTACTCACTAATCATGAAAAGCTCACTAGATCCTTTGCAAGATGTGAAGCTAGTCATGATTAGACGCTTTGATGATGATGATGAAAAGAAATGAAAGAGAACAAGATCTTTACGTGAAAACGAGATATCGAATTAGAATAAGCAAATTTCACAAAAGAGGCAAGTTCTTAAAGCTAAAAACAGATAAGAGATAAGATAAGATTAAAGATTCTTAGGTTTTTGGTCCTAAAAACTATTTATAGTGAAGGCTAAGTGTTGCGGGTCAGCCCGAAACAAACCGGGTACTGAACGCTCTTCTTGGGTCGTCGGGTGAGCACCTCGGTGTGTGAGAGAGTGAAGCCGAGGTCTTGATGTCGAGGTGTGCACGTGAGCAAAGATCAGGATGAAGATCTCATATGAAGAACACGTCAAGAACATGCATGAACCCTAGTCTTCAATCCATCTTCACATGCATTCTCTGAGTCAACTTGTTCTTGAATCTGGGTTGGTGACAAGGGACCTCGGCATGCATTGACGAGGGGCTTGGTAGTCGAGGGATCAAGGCAGATGAAGTCTGACATGCAATGCCGGGGTCTTGAAGCCGGGGTTTAGATCCGACACTTAGTCGTTTTCAACTTCGCTTCTGCAGCACGCATGCCTCGGCCTTGATATACCGAGGAGTTAGCACGAGGTCTGGTCCAAAGAGGTTCTGGGGACGAGCCTCGACTTAAGCAATGTCGAGGTAATGATGCCGAGGCTCGCAGAAATACTTAGCGTGTATCGCAACTCTTTAGGCTTGTACCGACCTGCTTGTCTCCCGGTTGCAATAACTTTTAGCACGCAACTCCAAATAACTTGAAACCAACTCCACGATCAAGATCACTCAATTCAGCTAAACATTTGGTGAAGAAACCATCGGAGCTTGGGAAGTGGAAGGCTCCCCGGATTTCTCATCTTTGCATCGCTTCAGAAGGGCAGAAAAACAGCTTTTAAACCGATGTCTATTCCGGAGATGATATCTTTTCGACCACAGCTCCAAATTGGGTGAACTCAGGTTTTCTGGAAAGAGAACTCAAAGATCTCAAATATTTATGAAGTCCCTGTAAACTGATTCGAGCTGGGAAGGCATTGTACCACGTAATCTTTGAAACTCATCGGATTGGCTCTTGAATGCATGCGAGACATGTGTGTCTCCCAGTGGCGATATCTCTCTACTCACTGCTCCAAATTCAGTGATTCCAACTTTTCTGGGATCTTAACTTGATTATCTCCAACTTTGATGAAGATCCCGTTAACTGATTCGGACCAGAGGATTCACCGGATTTGCAATCTTTGACGCGCGCAGGTGAAAATGGATTTTAGCCGAGAAATGCTTTCCGCAGTAAGCAAAATATCCGAGAAACGCGTACCGCGGTAAGCTTTTTAGCCAATAAAAATTCCCCGTCTCGGCATAAAAATTCACCCGATAGAATTTTCACCTGGTACTGATTTTTAGCCGATAAAAATCACCCGATGGCATTTTTAGTCGATAAACTGATCCAGCCGGTACATGCTTGTGCCGAAAAATTCCTTTAAGCGGTTTTCATCATTTTTAACCCTTTTCTTCACCATTTCAACTCCTGATCACACTTCTTGAACTCCAAATAGCCTCCAAAGCACCTGATAAAGTTCCAAACCATGCAAAACGTTTTGGGGCCTAATACAGACCCTAAAGCCTAATTTGATGCCTAAAGACCTAAAATGAATGAGAAAACGCATGATCTGGATTCTAAAATGCAGCCTAAATGATGAAAATTATAGAAATATCAACTCTCCCACACTAGTCTTTTGCTTGTCCTCAAGCAAAAAGAGCAAATGAGAGAAAGAAGTTGGATGCAACGGGAGTTCATATTCCTTATGGGAGAGAGATACAATCGCAAAGAGACTCAAATTCCAAGTTGCCAATTCCATGTGCAATGCAAGACTCTACTTTGATTTTCAAGATTCAACAAAGGATCTCCACAAACTCTTCTTATCACACGGCTCTTTGACATTCATTAAGCGTTTACCAAGTGAATATAATGATGCAAGTTCAAGCGAGTAATGCTCGGCTAAGGGTGAGGCTATGAGATGAAAATGATCTCATTCAAATGCAAATGCACAAGCAGGGTTCAAAGCAATCAAGGATCTCTCTATGAACGATCAAAGCTTCGGCAGAATGCTAAAGGTAAAGAGCAATGGGCGCATACAAAAGCAAGTCTCAGCTCACTTCCCTTACCCAAAGACACTCTAACTCACACACTCTCAGAATGAACCTCACAACTCTCTTTTCACTTGCTCTCATCTCTCAAAAAGGGTTTTATTTCTTTAAGACTCTCGGCTTGGGATCTTCTTTTCTCACTTAGCTCTTTCTTTACAACTTTAGACATCTAACCTCTCACTTTCTCTTTTTAAACACTTGAGCCGTTTTGGCTTCTTTTCTTTTCTCTCGGAGGTTAGACCTTTTTTTTTAGACAATCAGAGCTTTGTTTCTTTTCAAAAACACAAGATCCAAGACCGAACTCTCTTTCTTTTCAAAAACCCTCATTCCTCACGCTCTCATTTTTTTACACACTCTTTCTTTCCTCTCAAAGATGAATTCTCTCCAAAATCACTTAAGAAAACCTCTCCTTCTCACTCATTCACAGCCTAGACCTAATAGTTCCTTGACGTTGGAACTAAACACTCCTCGAGACTTGCTCTTGTCGCTCTAAACCTAACACGTTCTGCTAAGCTTCGATCCAAGGTGGCCTCACATTTCACACACGAAGTTCATTAGGCTTGAAAGAAAGATTGGTTCAGGGTGAGGAACTGATCCAAAAGGTGGAATCAGCTATTTGAGCTAAGGAAAAGAGCGGCAAAAAATAGGTTCTAGCTCAAATATGTGTAAATGTAACCACAAAACTCACTCAAACCATGCATCAAGAGATATTTACAAATCAAGTTCAGCAGTTCTCACTTATTAGAGCCGAGTTCAATTTCAAGTTTGCTTCTCAGATTCAAATCGTTTCAAGTCTAGCATGCAACAAGGAACCAACAAACATGGAAATCAAGTATTCAAAGCGATGATCTCTCAAGGAAAAACCTATCATTACTCCCATGCATTGATGCAATCCTATATGATGCAACTAGACTCGATCCTAAAATGTGAAATGCGACTAGAATGAATATTTTTTTGTGAAAATTTTATGATTTTTCATATGCACTAAACTATATGTGACTCAAGACTCAAAAGATCAAATAAGAACACAGAAAACAAGATCAGAAGACACAAAGCTCATCCCCCACACTTAAATAACACAGTCCCTTGTGTTATAAAAGCGTGTGAGAGAAGTAAAAACAAAAGGAAACTAATGCCAGATGATATAGACAGAATGCATATGTACAAGGGTTTGAAGTCTTTACCTCAGTCGCTGAGGTCTGATCCCACGTAGTACGAGGGATTTGATATGGAGCAGGATGGTGTAGGCTCCCTTGGTGGACTGCTCTCCGATGAGTCAGGCTGAAACGCCGTGGCCGGATCGATCCAGTCCTCTTTGCCTGGTGGAAACGCGAGATTACACGCATTTGAGCTCTCACCAACTTCTTCTTGTG